GTGTTGGGGAGTGTTGGGAGGGCACTGATGGTCAGTGCTGGGGCAGGGGGAGGGCATTGATGGTCAGTTTTGGGGAGGGAGGAGGGCACTGATGGTCAGTGTTGAGACAGGGTGGAGAGCACTGATGGTCAATGTTGGGGTGGGGGGAGGGCACTGATGGTCAGTGTTGGGGAGTGGGGGGACAGCACTGTAGGTCAGTGTTGAGGAAAGGAAGGTGGGAGGAAGCACCGATGCTCAGTGTTCGGGACAGGGGGGAGGGCACTGATGGTCAGTGTTGGGGAGGGGGGGAGGGCACGGATGGTCAATGTTGGGGAGGGCACTGATGGTCAACGTTGGGGAGTGGGGGAGGGCACTGATGGTCAGTGTTGGGGAGGGCACTGATGGTCAGTGCTGGGGCAGGGGGAGGGCACTGATGGTCAGTGTTGGGGTGGGGGGAGGGCAGTGATGGTCAGTGTTCGGGAGGGGAAGGGCACTGATTGTCAGTGTTGGGGAGGGGGAGGGAAATGATGGACAGTGTTGGGGAGTGGGGAGGGCATTGATGGTCAGTTTTGGGGAGGGAGGAGGGCTCAGATGGTCAGTGTTGAGGGGAGGGCAACTGATGGTCAGTGTTGGGGCAGGGGGGAGGGCACTGATGGTCAGTGTTGGGGGGAGGGCACTGATGGTCAGTGTTGGGGAGCGGGGGAGGGCAGTGATGGTCAGTGTTGGGGAGGGGGGAGGGCACGGATGGTCAATGTTGGGGAGGGGGGGAGGGCACTGATGGTCAATGTTGGGGAGGGGGGGGGCACTGATGGTCAGTGTTGGGGGGAGGGTACTGATGGTCAGTGTTGTGTAGGGTGGAGGGCAATGATGGTCAATGTTGGGGTGGGTGGAAGGGCACTGATGGTCAGTGTTGGGGAGGGGGAAGGGCACTGATTGTCAGTGTTGAGGAGGGGGTGAGGGAAATGATGGACAGTGTTGGGGAGGGGGGGAGTGCATTGATGGTCAGTTTTGGGGAGGGAGGAGGGCACTGATGGTCAGTGTTAAAGGGAGGGCGATGATGGTCAGTGTGTTGGGGAGGGCACTGATGGTCAGTGTTGGGGCAGGGGGGAGGGCACTGATGGTCAGTGTTGGGGGAGGGCACTGATGGTCAGTGTTGGGGAGGGCACTGATGGTCAGTGCTGGGGCAGGGGGGAGGGCACTGATGGTCAGTGTTGGGGTGGGGGGAGGGCACTGATGGTCAGTGTTGGGGCAGGGGGGAGAGCACTGATGGTCAGTGTTGGGGTGGGGGGAGGGCACTGATGGTCAATGTTGGGGTGGGGGGAGGGCACTGATGGTCAGTGTTGTGGAGGGGGTGAGGGCACTGAAGGTCAGTGTTGTGGATGGGGTGAGGGCACTGAGGGTCAGTGTTGCGGAGGGGGGGAGGGCACTGAGGGTCAGTTTAGGGGAGGGGTGAGGGCACTGAGTGTCAGTGTTGGGGAGGGGTGAGGGCACTGAGGCTCAGTGTTGGAGAGGTGGGGGGGAGGGGCACTGAGGGTCAGTGTTGGAGAGGTGGGGGGAGGGTACTGAGGGTCAGCGTTGTGGAGGGGCTGAGGGCACTGAGGGTCAGTGTTGCGGAGGGGGGGAGGGCACTGAGTGTCAGTGTTGGGGAGGGGGGGAGGGAACTGAGTGTCAGTGTTGGAGAGGTGGGGGGAGGGCACTGAGGGTCAGTGTTGGAGAGGTGGGGGGAGGGCACTGATGGTCAGTGTTGTGGAGGGGGTGAGGGCACTGAAGGTCAGTGTTGTGGAGGGGGTGAGGGCACTGAGGGTCAGTGCTGGAGAGGTGGGGGGAGGGCAGTGAGGGTCAGTGTTGGGGAGGGGGTGACGGCACTGAGGGTTAGTGTTGGGGATGGGGAGGGCACTGAGGTCAGTGTTGGGGAGGGGGGAGGTCACTGTGGGTCAGTGTTGGGGAGGGGGGGAGGGCACTGAGGGTCAGTGTTGAGGAGGGGGTGATGGCATTGATGGTCAGTGTTGGGGAGGGGTGAGGGCACTGAGGGTCAGTGTTGGGGAGGGGGGGAGGGCACTAAGGGTCAGCGTTGGGGAGGGGGGGAGGGAACTGAGGGTCAGTGTTGGGGAGGGGGGGAGGGCACTGAGGGTCAGTGTTGGAGAGGTGGGGGAGGGCACTGAGGGTCAGTGTTGGGGAGGGGATGAGGGCACTGAGGGTCAGTGTTGTGAAGGGGGTGAGGGCACTGTGGGTCAGTGTTGGAGAGGTGGGGGGAGGGCACTGAGGGTCAGTGTTGGGGAGGGGGTGAGGGCACTGAGGGTCAGTGTTGGGGAGGGGGTAGGGCACTGAGGGTCAGTGTTGGAGAGGTGGGTGGAGGGCACTGAGGGTCAGTGTTGGGGAGGGGTGAGGGCATTGATGGTCAGTGTTGGGGGGAGGGCCTTGATGATCAGTGTTGGGGAGGGGGTGAGGGCACTGAGGGTCAGTGCTGTGGAGGGGGTGAGGGCACTGATAGTCAGTATTGGAGAGGTCGGGGGAGGGCACTGAGGGTCAGTGTTCTGGAGGGGTGAGGGCACTGAGGGTCAGTGTTGTGGAGGGGGTGAGTGCACTGAGGGTCAGTGTTGGGGAGGGTTGAGGGCACTGAGGGTCAGTGTTGGGGAGGGGGGGAGGGCACTGAGTGTCAGTGTTGGGGAGGGGGGAGGGCACTGAGGGTCAGTGTTGGGGAGGGGTGAGGGCACTGAGTGTCAGTGTTGGGGAGGGGGGGGGAGGGCACTGAGTGTCAGTGTTGGGGAGGGGTGAGGGCACTGAGGGTCAGTTTTGGAGAGGTGGGGGGAGGGCACTGAGGGTCAGTGTTGGAGAGGTGGGGGGAGGGTACTGATGGTCAGTGTTGTGGAGGGGGTGAGGGCACTGAGGGTCAGTGTTGGAGAGGTGTGGGGAGGGCACTGAGGTTCAGTGTTTCGAGGGGGTGAGGGCACTCAGGGTCAGTGTTGGGGAGGGGGGGAGGGCACTGAGGGTCAGTGTTGGGGAGGGGTGAGGGCACTGATGGTCAGTGTTGGGGAGTGGGGGAGGGCACTGAGGCTCAGTGTTGGGGAGGGGTGGAGGGCACTGAGGTTCAGTGTTGGGGAGTGGGGGAGGGCACTGAGCGTCACTGTTGGAGAGGTGGGAGGAGGGCACTGATGGTCAGTGTTGTGGATGGGGTGAGGGCACTAAGGGTCAGTGTTGGAGAGGTGGGGGGAAGGCTCTGAGGGTCAGTGTTCTGGAGGGGGTGAGGGCACTCAGGGTCAGTGTTGTGGAGGGGGTGAGTGCACTGAGGGTCAGTGTTGGAGAGGTGGGGCGAGGGCACTGATGGTCAGTGTTGTGGAGGAGGTGATGGCACTGAGGGTCAGTGTTGGGGAGGGAGGGAGGGCACTGAGGGTCAGTGTGGGAGGGAGGGAGGGCACTGAGGGTCAGTGTTGGGGAGGGCGTGAGGGCACTGAGGGTCAGTGTTGGGGAGGTGGGGGGAGGGCACTGAGGGTCAGTGTTGGGGAGGGGTGAGGGCACTGAGGGTCAGTGTTGGAGAGGTGGGGGGAGGGTACTGATGGTCAGTGTTGTGGAGGGGGGAGGGCACTGAGGTTCAGTGTTTCGAGGGGGTGAGGGCACTGAGGGTTAGTGTTGGGGAGGGGGGAAGGGCACTGAGGGTCAGTGTTGGGGAGGGGGTGAGGGCACTGATGGTCAGTGTTGTGGAGGGGGTGATGGCACTGAGGGTCAGTGTTGGGGAGGGGAGAGGGCACTGAGGGTCAGTGTTGGAGAGGGGAGAGGGCACTGAGGGTCAGTGTTGGGGAGGGGTGAGGGCACTGAGGGTCAGTGTTGGGGAGGGGTGAGGGCACTGAGGGTCATTGTTGGGGAGGGGTGAGGGCACTGAGGGTCAGTGTTGGGGAGGGGGGGAGGGCAGTGAGGGTCAGTGTTGGGGAGGGGTGAGGGCACTGAGGGTCAGTGTTGGAGAGGTGGGGGGAGGGCACTGAGGGTCAGTGTTGGGGAAGTGGGGGGAGGGCACTGAGGGTCAGTGTTGAAGGGGGGGGGAGGGCACTGAGGGTCAGTGTTGGGGAGGTGGGGGAGAGCAGTGAGGGTCAGTGTTGGGGAGAGGGGGGGAGGGCACTGAGGGTCAGTGTTGGAGAGGTGGGAGGAGGGCACTGATGGTCAGTGTTGTGGAGGGGGTGATGGCACTGAGGGTCAGTATTGGGGAGGGGAGAGGGCACTGAGGGTCAGTGTTGGGGAGGGGTGAGGGCACTGAGGGTCAGTGTTGGGGAGGTGGGGGGAGGGCACTGAGGGTCAGTGTTGAAGGGGGGGGAGGGCACTGAGGGTCAGTGTTGGAGAGGTGGGAGGAGGGCACTGATGGTCAGTGTTGTGGAGGGGGTGAGGGCACTGAGGGTCAGTGTTGGAGAGGTGGGGGAGAGCAGTGATGGTCAGTGTTGTGGAGGGGGGGAGGGCACTGAGGGTCAGTGTTGGAGAGGTGGGGGAGGGCTCTGAGGGTCAGTGTTCTGGAGGTGGTGAGGGCACTGAGGGTCAGTGTTGTGGAGGGAGTGAGGGTCAGTGTTGGGGAGGGGGGGGGGAGGGCACTGAGGGTCATGGTTGGGGAGGGGGGGAGGGCAGTGAGGGTCAGTGTTGGGGAGGGGGGGGAGGGCAGTGAGGGTCAGTGTTGGGGAGGGGGGGGAGGGCAGTGAGGGTCAGTGTTGGGGAGGGGGGGGGAGGGCAGTGAGGGTCAGTGTTGGGAGGGGGGGGAGGGCAGTGAGGGTCAGTGTTGGGGAGGGGGGAGGGCAGTGAGGGTCAGTGTTGGGGAGGGGGGGGGAGGGCAGTGAGGGTCAGTGTTGGGGAGGGGGGGGGAGGGCAGTGAGGGTCAGTGTTGGCGATGGTGGGGGGGAGGGCACTGACAGTCTATGTTGGCGATGGTTGGGGGAGGGCAGTGAGGGTCAGTGTTGGGGAGGGGGGGGAGGGCAGTGAGGGTCAGTGTTGGCGATGGTTGGGGGAGGGCAGTGAGGGTCAGTGTTGGCGATGGTGGGGGGAGGGCACGGGCGGCGCGGTGCAGTGTGGGAGCTGCTGTGGGCTGAGCCGCCATTTTGTTGAGGAGCTGAGCCGCGCTCTCTGGGCGTCCGTCTGTTTTTCTCTGCGTTTCAAGCGATAATAATTTGGAGAGCCCCGAGTGTGTGCGCGCGGCCGTGTAGGATATCGTTACTGTTCACACACTGTGCGAGAAGACCCCGAGTGATCCGCTCAGGAGGCCGCCCACTGAGGGTGTGTGAGGAGGAGGAGGAGGCGGCGGCGGGGCCCGGGCCATGGGCCGCTCTCGGAGCCGGAGCTCGTCCCGCTCCAAACACAACAAAAGCGCCAAACACGGCAAGAGGAGGACGACGCGGTCCCGCTCCCGCGACAGGGACCGAGACCGCGACCGCGACAAGGAGAGGCCCAGGAAGCGCTCCAAGTCCCGGGAGAAGAAGAGCCGGCGGCACGGGGGGGGAGCGGCGAGCGGCGGCGGCGGCAGCCGGGAGTCCCGCTCGCGCTCCCGCTCCACCCGCCGCACCACCCCCGAGAGGATCGACATCTTCGGCCGGAACCTGAGCAAGAGGAGCAGTCTGGACGAGAAGCAGAAGCGAGAGGAGGAGGAGAAGAAAGCGGAGCTGGAACGGCAGCGCAAGATGTGAGTGCACGAGGCGCGCGCGGGCGGGAGGGACTGGCTCACTTCAGCCCCCGGCTTCAGCACGAGCACCAGGCCTCGGAGACACCCCCCCCCTTCCTTTCCCTTCCCTTCCCTTCCCTTCCCTTCCCCAGCCTTGGGCAGGTGTCTGTCCCTCTGATGGCCGTGGGGGTGCGAGGGCCTCCTGTGCCACACATCAGCCTTTCTGCTGTTCCTGACCGCACCGCCTCCTCCTTTCCTCAATTTCGCTCCCCAACTTTTCTTCACCCAAATTCTTTGTCCGTACTTACGACTGATGAGAATTTTGCCAAGTGTGCGTGTGTGTGTGCATCCAGTTAGTGTGGTCGCTTCACATGGTTTATGCAGACCTGCGGGATAAGTGCTCAGTTAAGGTTTCAGGCTGCGTGTTGGTGCAGTAAAACTCACATAAGTCGTATATCAAATGCAAGGATTATTATTATTAGAAATTGGGATTATAACTCTTAATATGACTTACGCGAAGTCCCGAGTTGTAGGATAACTTGTATAAATCGTACAAAATCCAATTAATCAATAACCTACACAGCACATGCGTAATTCAGTGGAACCGGTAAGTGTACATGAGGTAATTTTTCACTGCAGCCAAAAAGTGTGCATGCAGTGACAGGTCAAGGCTGTTTCCTGCAGTTCAATGCATCTTGACCAGACTTTCCCCTTCAACCATGCCTTCGGTTATCTCCCCTCCCAATCCAACTCAGGGCAAACCACACTGCAGTTACACGCTCTGAGACCCATGTGAAGGGCACCATATAAATGCATGTTGTTGTTTGTTGTATTCTGTAGGTGAATACCTTAGTAAATTTGTGCACATCAATGTCCTACAAACAGCCATGAAAGGTATTTTGGGGGGTTATTGGCCAGAACATTAAAAGAAACCTCCCTTTTTGAATTCATTTGGAGTTCAAGTGACTTCTTAATTGTGACAGCTTCATCCTTGGAGTTTGAGGCTGCTCGAGACTCTCACCTTTAAATTGTGGTTGCGTGGCTCATTAAAACCAACTTGATGTTTCAGGGCTTCAACACATTCAGTATCAAATAATTACTTCAAAAGTTTTTTTGCATGCTATCAATTATGGCACTCACAAATAAAATAAGGTGAAGTAATGAAGCTCTTCACCGCAGTGTCCTGCTGTGGGTTCAACTACTGGTAGCTGTGCTGCCTCTATCTGATTGCTAAGTGCAGGTATCCTGAGCCTGGTGACATAAATATGCATGTGAATCTTATCATATCCTGTGTGTGATCTGACACAGCTGATAGGTAAATTGAGCTGTGTTATTGTGGAAAAGAGCCTTTATGTTTGCACTACTCAGTTGCCATTTAAGACTTTTGTGAGTGTCCAATAATATTAATTTAATAACAAAAAAGTTATATTTGTATAGCGTCTTTCATGTTGGGAGGAATCCCAAGGCACTGGAAAGTCAGGGATTTGGACCCGAGCTGGGGATCGGGGAGGGTAGGAGGGTAATATAGGAACATTGATCTAAGGGTTCTGAATTTGAATTTTCTTCTTTTTGAAATTCAAAACTGGTGAGTTGTGGCATTCTTAATTGGGTTTTCATGGAAGGGGTGCCTAACACGCTGATGGCACTTGTCAAGATGTTTATGCACTAGTGGAACATTTTGAGGAAAAATGTTAAAACCTTAAAATTATTAGATTGAGAGCGTTATTTGGCTCATCAAACCCTCTTCCTATATAGTCATGCAAAAATGTTCTTATCTTGACTTCACCCTGCACATTCTGTCAACAGCTTGCTCATGAATGGACAACTTGCTCTGAGAACATGATGGGCTAAATGGCCTCTTGTGCTGCATTTCTGAGATTCTATGAGGATGTTCATTGAGTCTCAGAGTTAATAGTCAGTGATCGCTGGGCTCACAATTTTACATCAAACCTGATTGCATTCCATCTGTAGAGAGCATTCCAGTTCTTCCTTCTGCTACTGGGATCATTGTATCCAATGGAGAATAATAAAATGTGTTCATTTTAGCCTGCAATGTGCTATATCCAATGTACAGTAGTTCTCAAGCAGATATTTAACCAGANTTTTTTTACAGACAATCNTTTTTTGTTGGATTCTACACTACATATCCACTCCTTTGTGGGTAATTCTTTATTGTTTGTAGTCTTGCTGGAAGGCCTTTGAATTTGAAACTTAGCTCTTTTATCGCCTAAATCAAATAGCCTGCTTAGTACTGCAGGTCTATGATTCGTTCTTTGAATGACTTGAATCAAATCTTTCTTCCGCACCATCTCTGTTATCTTACGAGAAAAAATATGGTCCCACAGTTATCAACAAGTATAAGCTTTGTAAACAAACTACAAACATTGTCAGTGTTGTAGCAGTGTTTGGGGTAAGAAAAGGAAAAGCCTTGCACACATTCCAAAGACATATAAAGAATGTCTGTGGTCACTGTTGCTTTTTATACACAAAAAAAAACAAAGCTTGCTATTCTGATGTTACCCAGAGTGTGTCACTTCTGATTACTGCCTGTAATTGCACTGCAGAATGTATTCTTGCAAGAATATATTGGAGGGAAGAAGAAAAATGAATGCAGGAGAATAATTAGAATTGAGAGACAAATGTAGCTGGTACAGAACACCGCTGTTAGGATGCGGTTGGCTATGTCTGAGGTTCCAACAAAACATAAAATAAATAAATGGCAGACTTCTGGGTGATTAGGTTGTCGATGACATCACTTCCTGCATTTTATGCACAATAAGTCCTCTTGATTTAACTTGCTGTGCAAACTGATGTCAGTGGTGCTACATATGTGACGTGACTTTAGTAGTATCTTGGAAAACAGCTTTTTTTAAGTATGAGAAGCTGGTTAGCCCTTTTCTGAATTTGTGTATTGTGCTCTAGGATAGGATGGGGCTGCCTTGTATATAGGCAAAGAATGCTGATCCACTGATACATATTATTTTTAAATAAGTAGGATGATTTTGCGATGATTTTGGGAATTCACACTCGTGTTTGGCTTTGTTTCATTGTGTCTGATATTTATTGTAGAGAATCTACAAATATCAAATTGTGATGAAGTACACCTGTGGTATGGCTGTTGAAGTTGTTTTACATTGAGCTTTAGTTGCTCAGAAGAATTTCTCTCTATGATAGCAACTTTTGAGTACATAATTAATGCTAATGCGTGATACAAAGTTATAACACAGTTCTGATGACTCAAACTGATAAAGAAGTTTAATTATTTCTTTATCAGACCCTACTTTACTTAAATAGCTTTGCCGCCTTTTTGTGGTGTGACTATCCTGGTAAGTGATGTCATTGTTGAGCAAACACTGTTTGGTAGAATTAAGCAAATCCGTATTATTGCATGAGTCAAATATAGGATGAAGTTCTTTCATGGTGATCTACAGCATATCTTAATCGCATTCATAACATATTAGTATGGCACTTTTAGTCTGATTTATGGGCAGTTGTGGAATCTTACTCATCAGAAACTGTTAGTAGGTAGCCCACCAGTTATCTCATCTCATTCTCCTGCTTTTTCCATACTCTTCAGTATGACTTTTATTCATTCAATTATCATAATTCTCTTTCAAGTGCTATTGTATACTTAGCTTTACCATTATAGTGGAGCTCTATTATAATGCACTTTGGTATAGTGCAGATTTTCTTTCCACCATGCATGCAACTGAACCACTTGCTTCCTGTGTACCGTCTGGCTTTTCGCTCTAAAATTGTTGACTTCCAGGTCACGAGGTTTCCTGTGACATAACTTCCTGCTTTGCTGTTCACGCATGAAGCAGACAGTGGAAGAGGAAGAGACTGGAGTTTCAAACCTCAGATTTATCGCTGGTCACTTTATGCTTTGTGCATGTACAGAAAATAGAAGTGACATTTGTGGTAACTGATGAACCAGACTTTGGCCATTGATTCTTTAAATATGTGAATCGGAAGCGAGTTGCATACACGATGAAACTGGCCAATGCACCTCTCTTTAACGGTTTGTAATTAAAATGTTAGAATGGTTAAGCATTGCACATTCTAACAATCCTACCAATATAATTTTTCTTACCTTTTTTCCTCTGCTGGCAATCCTTATTATGTGCTGTCAATTTACTCATTCATCATCAGTTGAACTTATCTTTCTATTTATTCTTTATCAAAACATTTATGATTTTGAAAACCTCTTTGATTTTCTTTCTTCCTCCCCCACATTTCTCTTGTTCCAGTAAAAGGGGCATGACATTTTACATTTCTCCACATAATTTATTTGTCCACAAAATATAGTCACTCCACTTCACAGGATATCCTTGACTTATTTTGAGAAATCCTCCTGGCGCGAAAGGCAGGCACTATATTAAATTTAAGGATTAGTAGTATTATTATAACTATTACCTTTGATCCCTGGTTTCCGTTAGTGAATTTCCATTGTGCCCAATCCATGACTGACGAGTAGTGACTTTTCTATAATGGGAGGAGGGGAAACTGCATGCAATAATGCAATTGAGGCATAACTAATGTCTTCTACAAATTTCACATTGCTTTCTTGAGGACTTGAGAGTGCTGCACTGCCAAAGACAGTGTTAACGTCAATTTTAGTGTTAATGGCTGCTCGTACATTTAGCTCTGAGGCTGTCAAAATTGTGATTCCCTCTCAAGATACTGTTTTCCTTGATGAAATAAAAATTTGGTCACTCAATCCACGATTGTTTGTGGGACACTATTGTGTGCAATTGGCTGCTGCACTTCGCCCAGAAAATACGCAGTAACAACACTTTACAATATATTCTGTGAAACGCTTTGAGATGTCTTAACTATGTGATAAGGCCTATATCAAATGCAAGGATAATTATTATTATTGTTGAATGTTCTGGTCTAATTTGAAGTCAGAATTTGGCATAAATTAATACATTGGATTTTAAGCTTTAAAATAATTATCGAGTATAGTATTTTAAATATGTAGAAAATTTGCTGGGCCTATGTTCTTTATGTTTTTGGGC